CTTAAAAGCGGCCTTCCACTCGTCTCCCTCGCGTACTCGAACTAAATGATACGAAGATCTAGCTTGGTGAACACAGTTGCATTCTGAACCAGCTCAAAGGTGGAGGATAACAATGGTAGGGGATACTTGCTCTTTATCGTGATCTGGTTAAGACCCCTATTTCCTATGCACAGACGAAGGGAACCATCTTTCTTTGAGACAAAGAAAAACCCCGCTCCTAGGAGGGAAGTGGAAGGTCTTATAATTCCTGAGGTTAATGATTCTGAGATGTATTTCTCCATGCATTCGGGTTCAGGTTTAGACGAGTTATATAGACGACTAGAAGGAAGTGTGGCTACAGGAAGCAAATCTATACCACAGTCAAATGCTTGGTGTGGGGGAAGAGAAGAGGCCTTGTCCTTACTAAATACCTGATGGAGATCGTGGTACTCGGGAGGAACTCCTGACACGTCCAGTTGGGTAACTGTGGGGCAAGGATGGTGTGAAGAGGTTACCGTAGCTGCTCGCAGACAGGTGTTGAGACAGCGGGAGCTCCAGGCTTCCACACTGTTTGGTCTCCAATTAATATGCGGGTTATGAGTGACGAGTCAGGGGTGACCAAGGACTACAGGAGACTGGGGGGATGAAAACACAAAAAACGTTAACTGTTCGTGATGGTTACCTGAGATTCAAAGGGTAATGGGGATTGTTTTGTGGGTGATAGGAGAGAGAGGGTTTCCGTCCAGGGAAGAGGCCTGTATGGGTGTAGGTAGAAGGACCATGGCAATTCGGAGTTGGTCTACCACCGCTTGATCCAGAAGATTTTGTTCACTGCCTGAATCCACTAGAGCTCGAAAGGGGAGGCTGCGCTGAGAGAGAGAGATGACACAGGAAAATAAACACCGGGATGAACTGTTGGAATTTGCACCCACCCGCACTCCCGGTTTTACTGGTGGGCTCTCCCTTTTATCTGGTCTGGACATTGAGAGACAAAATGTCCAGGCTGTCCACAATAGAGGCAGAGTCTGGAGGACATTCGCCTGTTTCTTTCCTCCAGACTGAGTCGGGTTCCGGGGAGCAGCCCACCTGCAGGAGAAAGGTAAGTGTGGGGAAAAAATACCTCAGGCCACGACGAGTTATTCCAAATTCTTGGATGAGCAAAATAAATAGATAAATAAATGTAAAAAATGCAGTGGGGCAGATGTCCTACACGTTTATGTTTTATTTTTCTTTCTGTGTTCTTTTCTTTTTTAGCTTAGGACAGAAAGCCTGTGATGACACTCTCTGGGACTCTGAAGGAGTTTCACTCGTCAAAACAGCGAGAAATAAAAGAAAAGATTGACACAAAGGGGGCTGAACCACAGAGCGGCATCTACATGAAACAATGAGATACGTTACACCAGGGATTCGGTGACAGCTTGAGGGGAAAAGTTTTCAAACTATTTCAAGCATGTGTAGGTGACTGACATCGGAATAATTGCCAGCTGATTACGGCTGCCACTCTACAAAACCACTTCTTACAATAAACAGCATCTCCGACTGTTTTCCCCGTCTCCTCTCTCTGAGACGAGGCACAGACTTTTCCAGTTTCTGGGTTTTGATTTTTTAATTTCCTCTCCCAGTCTCTGAATTCCGGTCCCTCGCCGTCTCTACCTGTCGCGCCTCATGCGCGTTGCAGACTGATTTGCATTTGACCTAATTGTGTGCACTTTTGCTTGTGCGCACGCTTATCAGTCGCCCAACAGTGACATCTGTATCACTGAATATTTTGTTTGGGTGACTTCATCCTTGCTCATGCATCCAACAATAGCCTCCTAATTAGCTGTGTTTATCTTCTTCTCCTGTTTTTTTGCTTCTTCGACTCCTTAATTCTCCCACCGTTCCGCGTCGAGTCGCTGTGGGAAGGCTTGCTAAATATACACGCGGAGGGAGGGAGACACTTTCCTTTCTCCAAGAAAAAGTGCAAATGAAGAAGCATCGTTTTACAGGTTGAATGAAAGGTTAAGAAAAAAATAACATATTTTGTTTCCTTCCATGTTTGCAGGTAGAAAACCTGCACAGAGGAGGAAAACGGATTAAGTCTCCTCCTCTTTCATCTGGGAGCACCTTTGCGACCTACTTTCTCTCTTTTCTGTTTTGTGACAAACACTTTCACCTACACACATATACACAAAAACCTCAAGGCATGGCATTTTACTCTGGCATTTCATTCACTCTACCGCCCTTTTCTGCAGCTCCCACTGGACGGCATCACGTCAATCAGAACAAAGCAAAGGGAAAACTAACAGTGGCAAGCAAAGGAAAGCAGCGAGGAGCGTCCTGTGGGAGGGGAAGCATCAAGAAACTAAAAAAAAGTTGTTTTTTTCACCAACTGAACGGTGTGGATTTCATCTTTGTGCTTTTAGGACCATCTGATGATCAGCGCACGTCGCAGTGTGAAAAGTTAAAATGAAGAGCTTGCTGCAGCTCTCACACTGCGTTTGCAGAATGGCAGATGCAATCAGTGTCCCATATGAGGTGAAGGCCAGGATGGGCTGAGTCATGCCTTATTCACTTTGGGAAACAGATGGAAACGCAGGTGTCTGTATTTCCACAGTATGTATGAGCATATCTAAGAACCCAGAAGCCTTTGACATTGTTTTATGAGCCTAAACTGCAGTCTGAAACTATAAACAGTGCAGTTTGTTGAGTAATGCAAAATAAAGCTCTGTATAAAAAAACAGACTCTGAGAAATCTTTAGAGTAAAACTATTTCAATTCAAGTCTTATTATCGATTGCTTTCCCCATTTTTATTATTTTCCTTGTTGCAGATTGTTGCTCTGTTCAACTTTTCAGGGCAGCAGTTTTTTTCTTTTCTATGTGAAAGATGCAGACAGCCAGTCTGCTTTTTCACGCCTGCTTTTCAGGTGACTGAACAGCCACGGAAGCTAATTTTCCCTGAAAATTTCAGAGTCACTTCGTGGCCGACCTTCACGGCCACTTAACACGGCGACTCTCCAGGTATGTGGAGGTGACACCGCAAGCAGGATTTTCTATTTTTCATTAAATAAAATGGACGTACAGAACAGAAGAATATCTAAAAATGTACCTATAAAGATTGACTTTGCATAAATGTTTGCTAGAGTAGTCAAACCTATATATTTTTAGGATTACATAAAAAAGACATACCCCAGTTGATTCCTGTAAATAGTTATATTTTTACAGATGTTGCTCATATAAGTAACTGGGTCATTTTGTGCTTATTCAGTCTTCAACCTTGCAGGATGTACGCATACAAATTTAAAATGTTTCCCTAACCCTGTGAATGCATGTGTACGGAAGCTCATTCTTGCCAGCCTGAGAAAATAAAAATCTTGTATCTCATAATTATGACTTATATATGCCATAAGATACCATAACTGTAACATACTATTGCATTACTATGAGATAGCTAGATCATAGTTATGTTATTATCTTATTATGATGATAATAAATGAAAATGAAAGTAAACACAGGCAATAAGGTTTGCTTTTGAACACAATCAGCTGAGATGGCAAACTGGAGCACCGCAGCGCTCCATGAGCCTCTCTGTTAGAGCTGAAGCTCAGATCACCAGAGACTGCACAGGGACTGATGAGGACAGACACCTTTAGGAGCTGCTTGTTAAAAAAAAACTTAACAATCACAGCTTCAATCGCAATAAAAAGCAAGATGTGTCCATGATAAACAGAAGTCTGCAGCAGTGCAGAGACGGCCCCATACCCCCATTATGCCGCCATCACCTACTCTTTTATAAAATAGTCACGATTGCGCCACATTACCGCCATGGTCTGATCTTATAAACGACCTTCATCCTCCCCAGGGAGCCGCGGCAAATCCCGTTTTGCAAACGCTATGGTCCTGTAAAAACAGCTAGTGTCATAACAGTGAGATATATTCTCATAAAGTTGAGGTGGATTCATTGATGAGATAGTGAGATAGTATTTCATAATATGAGATCTCAAAATATCTCATACTTATGAAATGGTATCTCATAAGTATGAGATAACCGAATCCCACTTATGGGATAGCTTCCTCATTATAAGATTCGTTTTTTTTTTGTATCTGCAGGGACAGGAATGGGCATACATAGGCTTCCATATGTGTCAGTTGATGATTTTCTAAACACCATTTATTAATAATTGTTCTGAAATTAACTGAAATTTGGCACATTGGATTTGTTTCAGATGAAATATTTATTAGTAGGAACGTTTTATCAGTGCAAATGAGAGGTCATCTCTACTCCAAGGTTACCGTCTTTCCTCTCTGGTCCAGGAATTTAGTTGTAACTGTGTTTGGAAAACGCTCCATCACCCTCCTCCTCATTGAATTTAAAAAGCTTTTTCTTCTCCAAGCTGTGAGTGTTGTATGGTTTCTCTGTGTGGAGACATTTGTAATACCACATGGGGAAAAAACACAATACGTTTGCACAAATCTATTCAGTACATTCAGGTACAAACAGGCAACAGACACACAAACCTGCAGCAGCAAAAATTCCTGTTATGCCTTGTGTTTGAACCATTCACTGCAGATGCAACCTCAGCAGTTGCTACAGAGGCAAGACACACAAATGGACAAGACACAATGGCATTTATCCAGCTGATGCACACAGGCAGGCTTACAAACGTTTGGACTGCAGTGACCTCTTTAGCAATAGCCTGCAATAGTCAGATACGGAGCTACTTAACTGCATGCGCTTCTACTAAATCGCACCAGACAGATGACTGAGGCACGGGTTCACTGTGGAAAAATCCTGTACACAATCACACACAGCAGACCCAACAAAAATGTGGATCAAGTCTGAGTGGACAAGCGTTGCAAAGCATCAGTTACAACCAGTCAGTTTGGGTTTTCCCTGTTCATACTTAAGGACAATGATAAACCTGTCCAGCTGAAATGCAAGATAATCATCTCAAGGACGTATTTTAAATTCTTTATTGTTGAGAAGACATCGGTTCCCTTTTCAAGAAAAAGAACATGCATGTGTTTGGTGTGAGCGTACCGGGTTATCAGGTCTCAGTCGTTTGGATGGGGGACCTCCATCCTCTGGGTGAAGCATGTAGAACAGACGCACCTTGTTGGCGTGTTTTTTACTCTGAAAGAGACAGAAAGAAACAAGAAGTCAGCAAGTGAAGTGGATTTGGTTTTATCAGAACAGCCAGATGGAAGAAAAATAAAGTCAATGACTGACACACCACCTTGGCAGTGACCAGCGTAGTTTTCTTTTTTTAATTTCTGTTTAAGCTGATAATGCTAACAGACATTTTGCCCCCAGTCAGGTGACTAATGGCTCTGGCCAGCCGCAGCTTTCTGCAGCTGCAATTAGGACCGTAAGCAGGATAGTGGCAGTGGGGGGAAGTTGACAAATGTTTCCTCTATTTGCAAACACTGACACTTGAGTACATCCAATGTTTAATAATTAGGGGTGTAATGGTACGCTAAACTCGTATTCGGTTCGGTTCAGTGGTTTGAAGGGCTTGGTTTGATGAATTTTCGGTATATTGTTATTATATTTATTTATTTAATATCTGAAGCAGCTCCTATAGCGAGCAGAACCAGGTGCCATCACAGGCTGCTAATCTAGCATGATGTATTTAATTATTTCCCAGGGTATTTGCAGGGCCGGATAACCATTGCAGGGGCCCCTGGGCACAATGTGCTTAGGACAAGCTGAGAGTCAATAGCCATCAGTGACATCCCCTTCACAATTTGTAACTGGTAGAGTTAGAAAAATCAGCAGGGCCGCAAACACATTAGGGAAGATGGACTGTAGACTATTTTTAGCCCAAAAACAATCCTGGTTAAATTACATTATTTATGTGGACTCTCCAGGGATTAGAGCTGAGAGGCGCTGAGCTCTGATCGTTGACGCGCTCCAGACAGATGCGTCCTGAGAACGGCCACAGTAACATTATCAAAGTGTCGCACCTCAAAAACAAATTTAACACGCAATATTTTATGATGGCTCTTATCCTTTTATGCTTTCTGTGTTTTATTTGTGCCTGATGCGTTTTGCTGCTGCGTTTTGCTGTTTCGTCTTCCGGTGACCACCTCACCGGTGCGGTCACCGCGTCTGTGGATGATGAAAGATGGATGTATTTGAAGAAAAATCATGATGTGGGGATTACAACAACTGTTTTAGGGTTAAATGTTCATCTCTGCTAAAGAAGACTCAAAGGGAACTCAGAAATTGCAATTGCTCTGTGGCTTGTATTGGCCCCCCCATGCCCCCATGGATTCCTCCTCATCCTCAATTTCTTCCCACTCAGACTAATATTGATGCATTTTGTCGGTGTGTGTGTGTGTGTGTGTGTGCGTGCGTGCGAGTGTGTGTGTGTGTGTGTGTGTGTGTGTGTGTAGGTATATAAACGGCCACATATCTGATGGCTTGGGGATACGGACTGCAAAAGCAGGACCACATGTCGCTATGGTTACCCCACACAGACCCTCACTCCTCTAATGGACTATGCATGTCTGTCTCTATTTACTTTTTTCTAAGAGTAAAGTCAAGTTGGAGGAGACAAGCAGAGTGGAGGACAACCACGAGAAAAAGCTACGTCATCCTTTTGCAGGATGTAGAAGGTAGAGTCACAACTGGGATGTGGAGACATATTTTTGTACCTCTTTAATTATAAAATAGGGATGAAATTATTTCAATTCAATTCAAAAATACTTTATTAATCCCAGAGGGAAATTCTTGCTGTAGTAGCTCAGAATAATAATGATAAGAAGTCATCAAAGAGTTGTTGTATATTACAATGGCTGTTGGCAGGAAGGATCTCCAGTAGCGGTCAGTGTTGCAGCAAAACTGAAGACGCTCTTCTGTTGTCGGACAGTCTTGTGAAGAGAATGCTCAGGGTTGTCCATAATTTTCTTGATTCTCTGGAGAATCCTTCTTTGCATTATCTCCTCCAGTGGGTCCACAGTCGCCCCCAGAACAGAACCAGCCTTTTTTATTAGGCTGTTGGGCCTTTTCAGGTCCCTGCTTCTGATGCTGCTACCCCAACAGACGATGGCTGAAGAGATTACACTCTCAACAACAGACTTGTAGAAGATCTGCAGCATCTTGCTACAGACATTGAAGGACCTAAGCATCCTCAAGAAGTGCAGTCTGCTGTGTCCCTTCTTGTAAACTGATTCACTGTTCTTTCTCCAGTCTAGTCTGTTGTCCAGGTGAACTCCAAGGTATTTGTATTCCTCAACAACCTCCACTTCTTCTCCCATGATGGAAACAGTGTTTGACTCCACCCTGTTTCTTCTGAAGTCTAAAATCATCTTCTTTGTTTTGTTCACGTTCAAGGTCAGATTATTGTTTCCACACCATGCCACAAAGCGCTCCACCAGCTCTCTGTACTCAGCTTCCTGTCCATCTCTGATACACCCGACAACTGCAGAGTCATCTGAGTATTTCTGTAGATGACAGGTCTCTGATTTGTACTGAAAGTCTGAGGTGTACAGGGTGAAAAGGAATGGTGAGAGTACAGTCCCCTGTGGTGCTCCAATGTTACTGATCACCTGGTTTGATGTGCAGTTCGTCAGCCTCACAAACTGTGGTCTGTTTGTCAGGTAGTCTTTAATCCAGGCGATAGTTGAGGCCCCCACCTGTGTCTTCTGGAGTTTCTGGCAAAGTACATCAGGGTAAATTGTGTTAAATGCACTGGAGAAATCAAAGAACATGACCCTCACAGTGCTGCCTGCTTTGTCCAGATGACAATGGATTGGTTGAAGCAGCTGGATGATGGCATCTTCAACTCCAACTCCATGGTGATAAGCAAACTGCAGCAGGTCCTGATATGTCCTAGTTTGCTTATTCAGGTGGACCAACAGGAGTCTCTCCAGGACCTTTATGATGTGGGATGTCAGGGCAACCGGTCTGTAGTCGTCATTGACTGATGGGCGAGTTTTCTTTGGAACTGGAACAAGGCAGGATGTCTTCCACAAGACTGGAACCTTCTCCTGGGTCAGGCTAAGGTTCAAGAGGTGCTGCAGAATCCCACAGAGCTGCTCTGCACATGCCTTCAGTACCCTGGGGCTGACACCATCTGGACTTGCAGCCTTGTTCCTGTTCAGTCTCTCCAGCTGCCTCTTCACCTGACTTCTAGAGACAGATAGGTGGGAGGGGGAGGTAAATGGGGCAGCAGCATCTCCTGACTTGGTTGAAGACAGATTTATAGAACCAGAAGAGTCCATGACTGTGTTAGAGGACAAAAGAGCTGGCGTGTGACAGGAAAATGTTGGATCAGAGGAGGATGAGATGTCTGATTGGCTGGGGACAGGCGAGGAGGATGCTGAGTTTGTTCCTGAACTGAACCTATTGAAGAACTTGTTCAGTTCATTGGCTGTGTCCAGGCTGCCGTCATCGTCGTTGTCTTCCTTGTCGTCTTCCTCGTCGTCTTCCTCCGCTTATCCGGGTCCGGGTCAACTAGGGAGCTCCAGACCGTCCTCTCCCCGGCCTTGTCCACCAGCTCCTCCAGCAGGACCCCAAGACGTTCCCGGACCAGATTGGAGATGTAACCTCTCCAACGTGTCCTGGGTCGACCCGGGGGCCTCCTGCCGACAGGACATGCCCGAAACACCTCCCCGGGGAGGAGTCCAGGAGGCATCCTGACCAGATGCCCAAACCACCTCAACTGGCTCCTTTCGATCCGGAGGAGCAGCGGTTCTACTCCGAGTGCCTCCCGAATGTCCGAGCTCCTCACCCTATCTCTAAGGCTGAGCCCGGCCACCCTACGGACGAAACTCATTTCGGCCGCTTGTATCCGCGATCTCGTTCTTTCGGTAATTACCCAAAGCTCATGACCATAGGTGAGGATTGGGACGTAGATCGACCGGTAAATCGAGAGCCTGGCTCTCTGGCTCAGCTTCCTCTTCACCACGACAATCCGCCTGTCAATCTCCCGATCCCTCCTGCCCTCACTCGTGAACAAGACCCTGAGATACTTAAACTCCTCCACTTGAGGTAGGACCTCTACCCCGACCCGAAGTTGGCAAGCCACCCTTTTCCGGTCGAGAACCATGGTCTCAGATTTGGAGGTGCTGATCCTCATCCCAGCCGCTTCACACTCGGCCACAAACCTATCTAGCAAGAGCTGAAGGTCAGAGCTTGATGAAGCTAGGAGGACCACATCATCTGCAAAAAGCAGACGAGATTCTCCTGCCACCAAACTCGACACACTCCACACCACGGCTGCGCCTATAAATTCTGTCCATAAAGGTAATGAACAGAACCGGTGACAAAGGGCAGCCCTGGCGGAGTCCAACCCTCACCGGGAACAAGTCCGACTTACTGCCAGCTATGCGGACCAAACTCATGCTCCTCTGGTAAAGGGACTGAATGGCCCTTAACAGAAAGCCACCCACCCCATACTCCTGGAGCGTCCCCCACAGGGTGCCCCTGGGGACACGGTCATAAGCCTTCTCCAAATCCACAAAGCACATGTGGATTGGTTGGGCAAACTCCCATGCCCCCTCCATCACCCTTGCAAGGGTATAGAGCTGGTCCACAGTTCCACGGCCAGGACGAAAACTACATTGCTCCACCTCAATCTGAGATTCAACTATCGATCGGACCCTCCTCTCCAGTACCTTGGAGTAGACCTTTCCAGGGAGGCTGAGGAGTGTGATCCCCCTATAGTTGGAACACACCCTCAGGTCACCCTTCTTAAAGATGGGGACCACCACCCCGGTCTGCCACTCCACAGGAGTCCAGGCTGCCATCTGTGCAATCCTTCCTCTGCTTGAAGCCTGTGATCTTATTCATCCCTGGTCAGACATCTCTGATATTATTCCTCTGTAGTTTGTTCTCCAGCTTCTTCCTTTTTTCTCATGAGCAGCAATATCAGTATGGTTATATACTTTAATGAATGTGTTCAAAATAAAATACTTGAAAGGAAATAGAAAGACAGCTTTTTTTTTTTACTTTTTCTAAAAGATACATCAGCTAACTGTTCATTAGGGTTAGGCATCGAGCATCGATTGGAACTGGGACCAAATGTTAGTTTTTCCCGGAATTGTTCGATTCCTAGAATGCCAATGGATGAGGAATCCGCGGCCGATCATGAAAAATAAACGTGATCTGCAAATTGTGATCAACACATTTCAGAGCTGATCACACCAGCTGTCTGTGTGCAGCACCGAGTCCCCCCTCCCCTCACCCGGCGCGCAGCGGCCAAATATAAACAAACGCGTCTGCGAATCAGAATCGTTCAAAATCAAACGATGCCCAACCCTACTGTTTATGCATTGTTTAAGTTAGCAAAACCAGCAAATAGGATTCCTACGCTCAGCTGAACTTACATATCTTCTGACTTCTTTATTTTTTAGATGTGTTGAATTTATGCATGAAATTATGATGCTAGAAACCAGTGTTGGGAGTAACGCCGTTTAAGTATAACGGCGTTTCTAACGGCGTTCTTTTATAGGTAACGGAATAATCTAATTAATTACTTTTCCCGCCGTTGCAACGCCGTTACCGTTACTGGGGACGGAAGGTCGTGCGTTACAATGTGCTTGTCGAACGTTGAGCAGCAGTGTGAGGCTTTCCGACCGCCACACTTCAGCTGCAGCCAGGGAGAGAGAGGTGTCGGTAACGCACTTACAAACACGATGATGATTGGCCGGGTGGGCGGAGACCCTCAGTGTTCTCACTGTCTCAGTCGCTGCATTCTGTAGCGTAGACACAGCAAGTGATGGTAATAACGCCGTTTAAAATAACCACGTTAAAAAAAAAATACTTCTTTCTGTAACGAGCAAACTAATTAATTACGTCTTCTTTTAACAAAACGATCGTTTCTGTTAATGATAAGGAAATGTGTGCGTTAAGCTGTGCGGTGTGTTGAAGCTGTCATCAGCTGATCAGGAGCTAAAGAGGCAGATGTTTTCATCCAAGAGCATCACGGCCCGTGAAGAACGAGGAAGATGTGATGAATATCTGTGTGACTATGTATTTGTGAAAAAAACAAATAAAGTTTGTTAAAAAAAACGTGATGAATATCTACGGCTGCAGACCCGCAGATTCGCTGCTGCAGGTGGGAATCTGCAGCAGCGAATCTGCAGCCGTGCCCTTCTTAGCGTGACAGCGGGACGTCCCGAAGGTCCGCTCACCTGTTCACTGCTCAGACGTCCTGATCTTCTACCTTCCTAGATCATCCAGCTGTAACCTATTTCTGATCATGTCTTTAGTCCTGCTGTAACACTGATGCATCAGTCTCAGACGTCATGGAGCTCAGGTGTTATCAGAACTACCTGTGTGTGTTTACCACCCAGCTTCAGCTCTTCTGTGGTTGGGTCTGACCCATGTTAGTACATTTAAGTCCTCCATCAGATTTGTGCCTCTTCTAGTGTCATTTTAAAGGATATTTATTTATTATTTATTTATTTATTTATTTATTTATTTATTTATTTAACCGTTACTAGATTACCAGTAACAGAAATGCTGCTAAAAACACACAATTATGTGAAGCTGGAAAAATTAGAATACTGTGCAAAATTACATTTATTTCTGTAATTTAACTAGACTGAGAGACCATTTAAAGGCTTGGGAACCTTTACAGGTGTTTCTATTTGCAATTTTAAATGTTAGCTGATTAGGGTCTTGTTAAATATCACACAGTGACCTTTTAATAGTCTAGGTTAGTGTAATGTTCCTGTTAGTAGTTCCTCCTGTTAAGTGCTCATTTATTTAAATTATTCAGGTTAATAAAAAACATTTGGACATACATTTTATTATGTTCCAGTCATTAGTCATTTATATTTTACTATTGTAGTAATTCTTGCATTCTTTAATGAAAAAAGTAACTAAGTAGTTATTTTTGTTGGTAATTAGTTACTTTTATGATCTTGTAACTCAGTTAGTAACTGAGTTACTTTTTTGACAAAGTAATCATTAACTATAACTAATTACTTTTTTAAAGTAACGTTCCCAACACTGCTAGAAACATAAAGTTAAGTTTTCCTGCGACACTGCAAATCTTTAATCTCTATGAAAGAAATGACCATAAAGTTCAGTTCTTTTGAATTGAAGTTCTGTGGAAAGGTTAATATATGCAACTAATATCGGAAAATGTTGTGAACTGTTGCTTGAAATACTTATTAGTTATAAAGTGCATTGCTGCTAGCTAAACAAAAAAACTTGGTTTTGGCTTGGCCTAAACCAACAATTGGCCATCCCGTTGTCGATCTGAGCAAACCACATTTACCTGGGTCCTCCGTTCATTTCGTGCTCACATATTTAGCAACAGAACACCATTGTGAGAGATTTGCTGCTTTTTTATCGTTTAAACATAAATTAAATAAATTTTAGAAATATTTTTATATCTAAATTGAAATGTATTTATTTTAGTGAAGCGACTCATGATTTTATCTTGAGAGGCACATTATAAAAGATCCTTTTCTTTCTTTCTTTCTTTCTTTCTTTCTTTCTTTCTTTCTTTCTTTCTTTCTTTCTTTCTTTCTTTCTTTCTTTCTTTCTTTCTTTCTTTCTTTCTTTCTTTCTTTCTTTCTTTCTTTCTTTCTTTCTTTCTTTCTTTCTTTCTTTCTTTCTTTCTTTCTTTCTTTCTTTCTTTCTTTCTTTCTTTCTTTCTTTCTTTCTGTGAGAATGATGCTCATTCCCATATCAGGGGGGCGGGGGCCTAGCTATGATAGCCGACTGGGGGGGGTGAGAGTTATGTGACCGTGTTAATAAAAGATAGCTTGATTTGAGGATTTGCTGTTGCACTGTGTTTTCTGTTGTTTTATGATGAGATCTTTGTTCAAATTAACCTAAACTAAACTAAACTAAACTAAACCAACTAAACAAAATCTGTGCTGCCTCTTCAGCTGTTACATATAATAATGTAATCTAATAAATGGTGGATTGAAGTTGTTACTGTAAAACCTAATTTATACTTCTCCATCAGCTCCACGAGGGAGAGACACGCACGCACGGACTGAGACAATTAGCACTCATACTTCTCCGTCTCCTGGGGAATGTTGCAAAGCAATTCCCTGCCAGGACAACAGAGGGCGTAGCGCTGTTCTTGGGCATCCTGTCATGCATCCGGTCCAAGATAGTGTGTTTATATTGTGTTTTCTGGTATTTAAGACTTTTCAACACAGAGAAATTTGTCACACATCCTCCTCCACCTCTTCATGCGTGCACCACCTCTAAACCCACAATTCCTGTCATTTCCGTTCTCGAATAAAACACTTGCTGTGTATCTTTTCACTCCTCCAGTCACGGGGGAATAAAACATTCATGTTTTTAGAGTTTTCCGCAAGGTATTCTTCAAGCTTCTCTGTGTCTGCTGCTAGATATCCTCAGCTCTATTAATGCTTTTGAGGGCGCTATAGACTACAGCGGCGTCCTGACTAATCACAAGCTTGCATTCTCTGTCTCAACAGATGGATGTTTAAAAAAGAGATGCTCGACTCCGCCCGTCCTTGCAAGCCCTCGAAAGGACAGATAATGGTGTTGCGTGCATCCATCCCGATGCAGAAGTAAAAATTAGGCTTAAGAAAGGAAATGTTGAATTTACTTATGTCAACTGGTTCCTCTAAACCTAGTTACTTGTAAAGAGTAATATACATTGTTATGTTGAAAGTAAACATATATTACTCTTTACATTTAGGCAACTAGCTTCAGCTAACATACCTATAAGTAAATTTAACATTTTATTATTGTAGAGGGTACAAATCAGTGTCAACATCAAGTCACTGAGGGAAGATCTGCACTATGGGGTGAACCTTTCTAAAAGCAATCAAATCATTATTTTCTGATGGTGGTGGTGATTAACGAAGTCAGGTGATATAACTGGAACGTCCCTCTACTGGACCAAAACAGACGGATTATAAATACCACTCCATGTGGAGATCATTTTAACTAAGCTGGAACGGATTTCAAGCTACAAGTATTCAGTAAAGCAGGCCAATGTCAAATGAACACATTTCAATAATTTGTTAATTATAAGCAATTTTTTAAAGGCAGACCCCCCCCCACCCACCAACCCCCGCTACCATATTAGACTTTAGTAAAATGAACTGCAGGAAACAGTCAAATATAAATCACCAGAAAATAACATCAAAGGGTTTCTTGCTTTCAAATGACTTGATTGGATTTTTTGCCTTGTCTTTCCGATCTACTGACCTTCGCAGAAACAATTTGTAAAGGCTGACACCGACAGCATGCTGTGACTCATCTTTTGTGAGCTCAACTCAGGGCTGTGTGTTTTTGTTAGACTTCTATGAGGGACAGAAATAGATTACTGTCACACGCCTGTGCAGACACATGTTGTTACTTTCCATGTCTATCAAAATAAGGGCTTTGTCCTCATTAGCTACTTGGTAATCCCAACACTTTGGCAGGCACACACAAACTGACTCAGATTTTCAGTTTAGTTACCAAATTCTAGGGCTGATAGTTTATTGACTCTTCGTTGTAAATCTCCTAGAGTTAAGTGAAAGGAAGACTAGATTAAAGCAAATTAAACTTGTGTGTTTGTGAGCAAGTAACTAGCATGCTGCTTTGAGCTAATGTATAATAGATGAGCACTGTTTTGAATGGCACAAATTAGCATAAACTGATACAAATAGGGCTGCTGAAAACGCTCAAGTCTACATATAAAAAGCAACAATCGTAGAAAAATTTTTAGAACTTTTTTTTGTTTGTTTGCTCATTTATGAAAATTCCTACTAAAACCTCAGCAGAGACGGACTCACCTCATAGTGAGCGGTGCGCTGGGACTCTGAGATGAGCTGGGCATTGCAGATGTTACAGTAACTCTCTGTAAATAGACCTCCATCCACGACGACCGAAGACTTCATCTTCATCTGAGACTACACACACACACACACACACACACACACACACACACACACACACACACACACACACACACACACACACACACACATGAATTTGGTTAACACAGAATGAGATTAAACGTAATGTACCTTACTTAGTGTGAGAGGGGTGTAAGGAAATATCTGAACTTAGAAAGTCCTTTCCTACAGGCTGACAAATTCATGATGGCAGCTGAGCCTGAAATATGTTGATCTCTGTCAGAACATCCACTCATAGAAGATTTTCACTCCACTTTTGGCAACAACGGGGCTCACATTTGATTTATAGCAAACTCACATTTATTATAATGTGCCATTTACGAGAGTTTCAAAACAAAATATTTAACATGTTTTCCTAACAAATGTCTTTAATCACAATTTACTCTATAATATCAATCAATCAAATCAAAGATACTTTTTTAATCCCAGAGGGAAATTAGAGTACACACAATTCAGAGATCAGACATACATGGGCAAGACACATGACAAGAATTGGTGACTGTGGTCATTCGAAACCCTGAGTCGCGCTACCTTAATAGAGGTAAGAGTGTTACATGAGGATTGGTTCAGGTGGAGGGAAAAAAAAAGACACTTCAGAGTTACCCTCCACCAGGAGGGCAGCTTTTCTCTGCAAATAAACACCTCAGACAGATATGCAACAGACTTCAGTGCCAGTGTCCAACTGGGTCTGTCCCGGAGGGGCATCCGGGAGCCCCTTCTCTTGTTCTCATCGTTGAAAAAATTGTATCAATCGCGTTGAGAGACCAACTGACGAGATCCATTTTAGTGAATTTCAGTTTCCAGTTTCCAGAAAAATGCAGGAGCAGCCGTGCACCCAGCACACATAAACAGACAAAGGGCCTTGAGGATAAGATATGGAGGAGAGGAGGAAAAAAGCGCCTGCACCCTCCAAGAGCCGGAAGAAGAATATTATAATATTATCTGAATTTTTTATATTTCTGTTAATCAAACAATGTTGGGTGCTAATTTTCTAGATGATTTGGGCTCATAAAGAGTTTTAAAGTAACAATAGAAAGTTTTTTAAACTTAAGGCTGATTCGTGCTTCTCCGTCTGCGTCAGTGCGGAGACACGCAACGTAGGGCTGCTTAATTAATCGAATTTTAATCCCAATTACAATCTGAGTTTTGAACAATTATACAAACAAAACAAGACGATTATTTGCTCCTCCCACTTGCGCTGCCCCGAGTTGCAAATGAAGCGCTTCTCCCACAGTGTTGCCAACTTAGCGACTTTGACACTAATTCTAACAGCTTTTCAGACCCCATTCTTGACTTTTTAAATCTTAAAGGGGCATTATGGAAGTTTGACAGCCAAAACATGTATAGAAATAATAAATTTCTTCTTCATACATTCTCCTACAATGCCCTGGTCCTGTAGAATGAGCCCTGGCATTTTTACTGTGATTGCCTGTTTTTCTGTAAAATCACAGAAAAAGAGAGCTGCTCGGGTCGAGCAGGCTGCTTCATGCGCGTTCACGCTCAGGCATCACCCGTAGCATTTGCTATCCATAGCTTTAGCAGCAGAGAGAGAGGCAGTGCCACTTTGTCGCTGTTCCTAACCCCAAAATTCCACTATCTCCGCTCCGCTCCGGCACGAACTCCGCAGCAAAATCGGTCCCGTTGTAGTCAATCAGAGCTGTTCCACTACTGCGGCCGTTCCACCATCCAGCAAAAATAGGATCGATTCTATTTTTGCCGGACGCCGGAGCACCTCCGCAGTCAATGGACAGAAATCACAACCGCCCAACAGAAAAGGGAGCAAGCAAAACTTCCGTTATTTCACAATACATGGATAAACAAAAAGCGTTTTCTTGTTTCATATGCACAGGTTTAACAACTTTTAACAACTATCAATGGCGGCTGAACTTTAAATGCACAAAAATAAGCCATAAATACAGTTTCCACTATCAAAGTAGTCACACTTTGTTGATCCAAACACTGCTGATCTCTCAACACAAATGATGGGTAGATTAAACAGCTCATGCCGATGCTTCTCCCACACAACGGGTGTTTGGATCTAACTTCCGCGTTTATTGCTCGGACTGTATCGCAAGATCTCGAAAATCCCGCGCATGCTTGTTTGCGCACCTCAGGTCTCCGCACCGGAGCGGAGCCGTTGTAGAGCGGGTACCAGTAAAAATTGAGTTCGGAAGCGAGCGGCTGCGGAAGGCGGGGGCGGAGCGGAGGTAGTGGAATCTTGGGGTAATGCCTAGTGACAAAGATAGCTACATTTCTGAGGACCCTTAGCTAATTTCTGTAGAACTTTTCTCAAGATATTTCCTGCAAATTATCAACAAAATAGCCATTTTTGCTCCGAACCTTTCTTTGAACATTGTTACAGCTGTCATCAAGGATATAAATGTTACAGATACAAAAGATGTCACCAGGACATTAGGAAAGGGAATGATGTAGTGATGTGTCAGTCGTTAAAGAAACAGCTCTCAGAGCCAGCTCCCGGTTGGATTAACCAGAGTGAGTGACACACACCTAACCTGCGGACTCCTGAGCCGCTAAAACCCGCTAAATGTGCGCGTGCGGTGCGATAAACACACGTGCAGCTTGCCCCTGATTGCTGTGAGACCGGGTTGGGGGGTGCAGCTGTGGTTGGGGCAATTATTACATTAACTGATGGACCTCTAAATAAATAGTTTATAAATAAGGTAGAAATGGATAGAAATAAGTTCCTCACGCTGATAAATAATAACTAATCTCTCTGAGGACACGGTGCTAGTGCACGCTCCTACAGCACCTTGACATGACTCAATAAATGTTATTTTGTGAACATCAACTTATTTGCATTTATTTGTTATAAATGCCACTGTATGATGCTTGCTGTCAGCATTTGCAAGATATTGGTATTTGGGTCTGTACTGGTTAGACTTAAATGAGTTAAGTATAGTTAAGCTCTAAGTATATTGGTCTTTTAGTGATCATCTTGTTTCTTATTTATTTTTGTCCTGATTGTGCCCTGAGCAATTTTGTGACTGAATAAAAACAAATAAAATCAACATAAATTGAAAAATCGTCAAATAATCGAGATCTCAATGTCAGTCACAATAATCGTGATTATCACTTTTGCCATAATCGAGCAGCCCTAACGCAACGCCATTATCCGTCCTTGCGTAGGGCCCCGGCAGGCACGCAAGTACGTACGGAGTCGAGCCCACTTTTTTAAACATCCGTTGAACGAGACGAAGAATGCAAACTTGTGACTGGTCAGGGCACCGCTGTTGTCTCCGCCACCATTGCGCCCTCAAAAACATAAAGAGAGCCGAGAATAACTAGCGGCAGACACGGAGAAGCTTGAAGAATACCTCGTGAAAATACTCTAAAAATATGAACGTTTAATTCCCCCGTGACTGGAGGAGTGAAACGATACGCAGCAAGCATTTTATTTGTGGACGGAAATGGCAGGAAACGTGGGTTTAGAGGTGGCGAGTGCATGAAAAGGTGGAGAAGAATGAGAGACAAATTTGGCTGTGTTAAAAAGTCTCTTATATACAAAAAACACAATATAAACACACTATATTGGACCGGATGCATGACAGGATACCACAGAACAGCGCTATGCCCTCTGTTGTCCTGGCGGGGAATTGCTTTGCAACACTCCCCAGGAGACGGAGAAGAATGAGGGCAATAGGTCTCCGTCAATCCGTGCGTGTCTGTCCCTTGCAGAGCTGACGGAGAAGCATGGATCAGGCTTTAGGCTAAAGCTACATTGATCTCAGTGACTGTTTGGTATTTGACTGCAACACTGACCACTACTGGAGATCCTTCCTGCCAACAGCCATTGTAATATGCAACAACTCTTTGATGACTTGATTATTATTATAATTATGAGCTACTACAGCAACCAATTTTCCTCTGGGATTAATAAAGTATTTTTGAATTGAATTGAATCTGCAGCCCTCTGTTGAACAAAAACTGCACTTGATTGTTTTGTGGAGTAATTTAGTGTCCATTAGGAGGTGCTCTTTACCTTCTTTACCTGGTTTATGGCTGTTAACTGTAAGGCTAACTGTTAGCATTTTCAGTTTGCTGAGCATCAACAAAAAGCACAAGAAGAAGAAGAAGTTTGCCTTTTCTGCTGGCATCATGGCGGAGCCTTGAAGTACAAATAAGATCATTTGGAAGCGAAGCATATAGCCAAAACCAGAGGAAACAACAGCGTGGCCTACACTAGCTTGAGGGAAGCTGAATAACCTATGAAATCACAAACTGATGCTGGCCTGGCTTTGTTGCTACTGGACTTGTAAGTAATACTCATTTTTGTCCAACAGAGGGAATCTTTTGGCTACATGGTTTATTTTAGTATTAGCTGGCTCATGTTAGTGTTAGCTCGTTATTGGTGCTAGCTACAGCAGGCTTCAGCAAGGTTGTTTACAACAGTTGTATTCCACTTTCAACCAGTAGGGCGGAGGAAACTGCTTTGTGTTACTTTAAACCAACTGGCGTTATTGAAAACAACAATTAAACCATTGCACAATGTTGCCAACTTTTGTTTCACTGACCTTTCCTCATTAATTGCAAGAATCATCAATTACTTTTTAATGAACAAGCCAAGTCTGAGGGTTGCACTTTAACAAGTTATTTAAACAAATAATAAACACATAAATAAAGTTGCATAGTCACTAAATGTGGGCAGGACTACAATAAATGGCCCCAATGATGTGGCTCATTTGTTTTGTGTGAGCAAATCCAAAGTGATATAAAAAATGTGCAAAATAACGATTCATTTGGAACTTGTTGCGTGTTTTTCCTCCATATATGTTAGGGTACTCCTAAGCAGCATGTTTATTTGTCTTGTAAGGCGACTCTATGATGCCCTTCAACACTGTTTTCAGGTAATTGTTCCTGCAAATTTTCTGTCTTTCGGACGTTAATGAGTCACTGACTTAACTGGCATCCTCCTAAAGTATTCCCACTATTAATTACTCATAAAAACAAGCATTTATTCTGTGTGTACAAATTAG